GCCACTCCTCGGAAGGAAGGTTGGGCAATCCTACTTCCATAGTGATACTGCCTCGGAAACCCAAGGAGGGGTCGCTATGAGTTGGGGCCGACTCAAAGACAAAACAACGAACCTTTTAACCTTAAAAAGAAAAAACACATAAAACTAGAGATAGAATGACTAATAACTAGAAAGGGATTACATTAACTCTGGCAGCAGGAAAGGCATTAGAGCAAATTCCACATCAGGTGGCTTTAATCCTAACAAGTCTAAAGGAGACCAAGGTGGCAGACAAGCAAAGAATGCAAAAGGATGACAGCAATAAATGAACGTACCCTGTGCTTCAGAAAACAAAGTTTCTGATTTTGTTCCCCTATGATGCATGTTAAAAACTGCAGATATTTTTGAAAGTATACACAACTGGATTGTTGCACATATAGTTTCAGAGCCAATCTATAAGGACATTTTTTAAACTACTCTAAAAGGATAAATCCTGAATCAAAACTTATCTAATATATGTAAAAATGCATGAGAAGATAGAAATGAGTAACTCATTAAATTAGCAAATAACAAAAGTAATAAAAATTGGTTAGCTCTCAAAAACTACAACAGAAAAATAAATGATTGCTAAATTATAGAAAAAAATCTTCCAAAACAAGGTAAGATTTAACTTGGCAAAGAGCAAGTTAGTATATTTATGAATAAAAATAAAGTGGCATAACATGGAAAAAGCTTGCCTAAGTCCAAGTATGGCCTTTAAAAAACCTACAAAATGAATATAAGAAATACAGTGCTGATGTTAAATATCTGCAGCCACAAACAATCTCTCCAAACCAACACAGGTTGTCTATACCTTTCATTCAGCACTTAACACTTAACTTTCTATACATTTCTTTCCTCCTCAACCTGATTATAAACTACTTAAATTATCCTCCACAAAGTAAATTTTCAGTAAGTATTGGCTTACTTTACCCAGAATGCAAATCATCCTGGGGCACAGACAATTACAATAAGAACACAGACCTCTATATTTTAGAAAATGCTTTCCAATTATTATATTATTTGACCCTCACGACATCCTGATACATGAGGCAGGACATATCTTATGTATTAAGCTAAAGAAACTATGGTTCAGAGACATTAAAAGATTGGTCTAAGTATATTGTGGCAAGCTAGTAAGCGGTAGGGCCAGGGCTGGAATCTTCTGATGCTAATGGTGTTTGTTGTTGTTGTTGTTATGTGCCGTTGAGTCAGACCCGACTCATAGCGACCCCTCCTTGGGTTTCCGAGGCAGTATCACTACGGAAGTAGGATTGCCCAACCTTCCTTCTGAGGAGTGGCTGGTGGGTTTGAACCGCCAGCCATCTGGTTAGCAGGCTAGTGTCTTAGCCACTATGCTGTTTAGGAAACCATAATATCTACAAATTGTTGTTGTTGTTGTTATGTGCCATTGAGTCAGACCCGACTCATAGCGACCCCTCCTTGGGTTTCCGAGGCAGTATCACTACGGAAGTAGATTGCCCCATCTTCCTTCCGAGGAGTGGCTGGTGGGTTTGAACCGCCAGGCTTCTGGTTAGCAGTCAAGTGCCTTAGCCACTACGCTACCAGAGCTCCCATATCTACAAATAGCAGGGGGAAAAGGGTATAAGAACCTCCCTCACAAAAACAAAAATAAACATAAATACATATAAGAATCAGATTCACAGTGGCAACAAAAGAGATGGTAACATAATTCATAAACAAAATGAGCTCAGCACAGAAAACTATATGGAACAAAGAAATCAGCAACAACATGGAAAAAACACATAACAAAATTACATCACTAAATTCTTACTTGTCTATAATTACACTGAATGTAAATGGACTAAATGCACCATTCAAGAGATGGAGAGCTGCAGACTAGATAAGAAAACATGATCCATCAATATGTTGTCTACAAGAGACTCACCTTAGACATG